ATATGTCTACGGTGAGGCCCTCGAAGAGTTAAGGAAGGCCTTCGGTAGATGCCTCTAACAAGCATCAGTTTCGGCCTGCAAGGTCTCACACTTAGCGAGAAGTTCTGCAGCCTTCTTGCGCCTCTTCCTAGGAGGTAGGCTTCGAATGTCTCCGAGAAGTCTGGTGATAAGGCCCGCACATGAACCTGTGGAAATTGCGTATGCCACAGCATTGCTCGATATGCCCACCTTGCGACCCTTAGGTTGTGGTGGCGGCTCTGAGTCTGTCGAAAGTGAGTCATCGGTGCCCGGTCCTTGTGCAGGGCTGGAGGATTGACCTGGGCCATCGGCTTCCCCAGGGCTGGGGCCGATTGTGGGACTGTCGGTCCTGTCCACTGGGAGCGTGTTTGTCTCATGTGCGGAGCTCTCTGATTCGCTCCAGTCCAGGAGCCCATGCGCGCTCCTCGGCACTCCATGGATTCTGTCACTTGAAGAGGAACTAGCGAGCGGTGGTGATGAGAGCTGCAATGGGGGGGGCAAAGATGGAAGCTTCGGTTGTTTTTGGGGGGGGGTTGGGGCTTGGGGTCCTCTCTTATTTCGTGCGCTGGCTTTGGAGCTGGCTCCCCTAGGGGCCGTTGACTGCACGTAGTGGGATCTGGCCGACCAGTGCGCCTCATGGCACTGTCGTAGGCGGGGATGCATCTGCGGCAAAGGATGACTGTGAAAATCAAGTGCAGAGCGAGATTCATGGTTTGTCTGAGATCAGGCTGATAAGAGTCTTTGCAAGTTGTTGCTCAAGTGCTACACACAACAACGGGAACCTGACAGAAATGATGGCCACCAGCTGAAGTCCCTGTTCTCTCGGTAGAACCTCAAGGATCGCTGGCACAAGTTCGTCTGCAGTATCCTGATTCCACAGCTGCCCTGCGAGGTCCAAGGCACTGTCAATGTCAATAGTGTCTTGACTATTCAGCAAGCAGTCTGCAACCAGTTCCAGAGCCACAACGCGAATCTGAGTAACAGGCAGAATGGCTTCTAATGGTGAGAAGAGTACAGAAATCACCGAAGGGGCACTACGGTCTGCTAGTGGGGGCTCGCTATACGAAACGCTGAGAGCCGAGACGCTTATGATGGATTTCAAAAAAGGTTCATATGCTTTGAGGCAAGCTTGCGCGGCTCAAAAAAATGTACGCATATCATGATATCATTAAACAATGACATAATCGCACAATCGTAGACTGTTATGATAATCATACTGTGTTGTTCTGACAATACGAATACCATAGTAGAAAAATCAGTAACAAAACAATAGCGGAGTATAATGATTTTCCTTCCTGCCTTCCTGTCCTTCCTTCCTTCCTTCCTCTGCTGCCTGTGCGTGATCGATTGCCCAGGCCTAAACAAAAGCAGAATTTTACAGTAACAAAAAAAGGTTGGCTTTGTTGACATATTATACAGGGAATAGAGGTTTTGATATTGAAATCTAGAGGACAGTTTTCCCAATAGAAAATACAAAGAAGATGAAGGTTCCCTACTAAAACATAGAGAAAATGTATGTTTTCCTATTGACATATAGAGAAAATCGAGGTTCTCCTATTGAAATATAGAGAGCAATGCAGGTTTTCCTACGAAAATGGAAAGAAAAAAGGTGTTTTCTGACTAAATTCTAGTGACCTTACGGGAAACCCGAAAACAACAAAACATCAGATTAAAACAACACAAAAACCAAATACCTCTCCTTTCAGGGCACCTTTCAGGCTTGGGCTCTTGGAACCCTGTCCTCGAGTTTGGCTCCATCAATCGCGTTCGAGCTTGGGTGGCCTGAGCTACATCCCTTAAAGGCCCACCGAAAGCTCCGCAACCTTCCACAAAGAACCCCCCCCCCATGAGGCTATGGGCGTGGACAGCTGCCCTTGACCCGTTCGTCTCCTCATCGGATCCGTGGGCTTGGATCTGTTCAGCGATGTTGGCACCTGGAAAATGAGCGCGATGATTCAATGATGCTGAACCCCACCCCCCCGCCTCCCCCCCCCGCCCACCGCCGCTCCCCGCAAGGCCCGCTTTTCAATTTCGGTGCGCGCTTTTGTAAGTGCCGACACCCAGACGTCATGCGTGGGGGGGGGAGGGTTGAGTATGATCGACCTTTCGTTTCTGCGTTGGGGGTTAGACAAGCATGGGTAACATCAGCAGGTTGGGTTGGGACAGGCAGGAAGCGTAGGAAGATGGCACTGAATCATTCTTCGGGACAGAGTTATATGGTAGGGGTAGCTCTTGTGTTGTAGACCATTAGAGGCCAAAAGGGCTTGACGCGCCGCATGCTATCTGGAATCATGACGTGCCGCATAGGAAAAAGCAGGTGCCAAGAGTATGTTACCAATTTATTGCAATCCTGGGGCTGCTGGTGTACCTCGATGCAATCGTGCAGAGACATCCAGCCGGATGGTGCGCACTTCTGCTCTTTACTAAGAGGCTGGCCGCCTGAGCTGCGTGTAGCTGCCACACTGCGACGATGTGCTTGTACCAAACGGGAACCTTGACCGGCCGAGACAGGAATAACACAAAAGCGAACGGAAAACGCATTGAGGTTAAGCAAAATTATGTACCGGTGCCCGAAGCAGCAAGTCGCGAAGGAGTACACGATGGAGTCTCAAAAAGGGCCCATCGCTGTTAAAACCAGCCCCTTGCAAACATTCGTACCTGACAATCTGGGTGTCCCGCTCACTGCTGCACGTCGCGCTTTCACCTCATCCAGAGAAACCTGGGAAAACTCCACAAAGCGAGTAAAGCTAACAACGGAAACGCGTGCACTCGGGGGCCTTGCAGAAGTTTCCTTCGGTTCTTTCTCAAGTAACGCTCCCAGGAAACGGCACACTCAGTTGGTGAACACATTTCGACTTCTGCACAAAGCTTGGCATTGGCTCTGTGTCTTCGGTTAAACGCTCGGAACCTCAAGATTTGACAAGCTTCGATGTTTGCAAGAAGCAGCTCCTTCATGGTATGGGACTGGATCTGGCATACTTAGGAAACCCAATCCCAGTCTCCCGCGAAACCTCCTTACTTTGCAACCTTGGGCCCTGCTTCCAGCCGCATGGAGGCCCGGCTGCCAGAATCTCCCAAAATCTAAGCCCTAACCCCAATACACTCTTCTGGGAAAGAGCATCTCCTAGCAAGGGCTTACGGCATGCACAGATATAGAAATCTACAAGTACACAGACATGCCGACATACAAAGTGTACGGATGCACAAGTATACAACTGCATATCTACAAATCTACAAAACTACACATTCAATTAGCTACATGTTTACACATCTACACAACGACATTTCTACATTTCTGCCCTTCTACATATCCACACTTGTTGAATACATATATATATATATATATATATATATCAAGGTCCAGAATGGACATTTGGCTAATCAAATGAATTGAACTATTTAGATTTTTTTTGGGTTTCTGGATAGAACGCGAGATTCCGAGAAGAAATTTCTACAGTACTTAAGTAATTTGACAAGGGGGAAAGAGGCTCGCCTAAGAGCCCAGAGACATCATTGAATTCTCAATTCCTACTGCTACTCAGAAAGTCAACTTGTTCTGGCTTCAAATCGTTTAAATAGTTGAGCTCTTGTAGTTACAGTATCCTGCTTGCTGTCTATGTGTACCACGGATTCTATGCAGAAACCCAACCAAATAGTTCAAAATAATTTGCTTTATTTATTGATTGAAATGTCATCCTAGACTTGTACAGAACATCGAGATTAAAGTTTACCATGGACGCTGGATGAGTTAAACTGACGTCATTTACCTGATGTAGTTGGGTTTCTGGATAGAAGTCGAGACTCAGAGTAGACATCAAAATACTGCAGTTCATGAACTTATCCAAGCTACCAAGTAATTTCATGGGTGGAGAGAAGCTCACCTCGGAGCCCGGAGCCATGAATGAGCTCAGTTTTTTCAGATTTGCACTTCAATATTGATTCAGCGCATTTTATCAGCTTAAGCACTTTTGGCTTTTGTATTCTGAACCTCCACTTCTATCCAGAATCCCAAGTAAATAGTCTAAGCAACTCGTCCACCCGGACCCCAGCCTCCACCCGCAACAACTTACGTGACTTAACTAGTTGTTTTAATCAAGCGAATTAAAAAGGAAAATGGAAGGTAAAATAAACCCCCCGCGAGTTCGGCTGTCAAGTCTGTGGAATGGATGCCACAAGGGCTCTGATGGAGAACGCTTCCCCTACAACAGACGACATCCCACACGGTTGTTCACGCACATACTTGTATGGATGCGTCGCGCCAAAGCACTCGATTTCCTGTAGCCTTTTTCGCCACTCTTGAGAGATATCTGGCCATCTGTACTACATGGCTTGCTTTGCAGTTGCTGTCAAGCCGCATCAGGCAACATTCCCTGCAGCCAGTGGCCACATGAGCTGCGCAGCCCAGCCCCCGGGTAAAGTCTCGCAGATCTACACGGCAACTGTCAATCAAGGTTGTGATGCACAGAAGGTACATGAAGGTACATGCATACTTTGCAACAGGCACCGAGTGTCTCGCTCTTTTTTATTCTTGAATCGTCGCCTGAGTCGCCTTTTGGCCCAGCTCCCCGCATCAGGGGAGGATGAGGCTGACTTGCTGCGTGCTAGACGAGCTGGTGAAACAGGAGACAGCAGAAGTGATGCTGGGTCCTATCGTTCCGAGCTACGCTTCCCCTGTAATGGCCCATGAAAGAGTGGTTGCTACAGACCGGCATACTGTTCTAGTTCTACCTGACATGCACTTTTCCGCGATGCTTGGATTTCCTGGTGCGTGACAGCACAGCTGCGCTTGATTCGTCAAACACCACGGTCTTGATCGGCATCGGGCTCAACAGCTTACCAGGCTTACATATCGTGCAGGTGTGATCTCAAGGCAGCGGCCCGTCTGAAGGTGGCACGAACTGCTTCACAGACAATGACAGGCCACGTCGCATGTATGTTTCTAAAAATCATGGCAGTGTCTCACTGCTGAGGAGAGTCCAAGTCTAGCCCTTGAACCAAACTTCTCCGTCGCTCCAGCATATGATTGTCTCAGTTCCGTTTTTGGAAACCACCTTGGCTTTTCACGTAGCATTTCTGACTGCTTGGGGGTGGATTGTTCTTGCACGCTCCCAGTGCTGGCAAGTGTCTCCACTGTGTGTCTTGCCCTCAAGAAAAATGCTTACGCGGAAAGAGTCCACCTGCAGATTCAGCTCTCTGCAGCAAACTTGTTCACAGTATAATTCCAAATTCCAGCCTCTTGCAGATCGCAGGGATCATGATTAAATCCAGGAACCCAGTTCATCTTCTCGTCCTGAAGCAGTTATGGCAGTAGTTCAGAGTAGTTCCGCTGGGCACTGTGCCCCTTGCCGTGTCACGTGCTCTCCAGAAATCAGTCTACTGCCTTGATGTTGCCCAGGAAGACATTGTCTCCTTTCCGAAACCACGGACCATCTAGAACACCTCCCATGAACTGAGCCTTGGTCACGCAGCTCAATCTCGGGCTGGAGAGTTAAGACATGTGAAGCAACTGCTCCGTCTGCTCTCAAAAATCTCAGGAAGCTTGTGTCATAGCCAGCCTACCTTTGCGGCTTTGACCTGGTCGGCGAGCACCGGGACCTGCTGGGTTCTAGCGCGGAAGAAAAGCCCTACACATCCTTACTTGACCCTAAACATTACCTTTCAATTGCCCGAAACCCTGAACCCTGAACCCTGAACCCTGAAGCCTAAACCCTAAACCCTAAACCCTAAACCCTAAACCCTAAACCCTAAACCCCAAAAGCCAAGGCACAGAGGCAACGTCAAGATTGGCAGCTTTGGAAGACTCATCTTCTTCGCATTTGCATATGCCCTGTCCCATCGCAACCTCGGTCTAGGGCTCTGAAGGAATTGTAGGAACTTTAGGAATTGTAAGAAGTTTAAGAAGTCTGGGGTTCAGGAAGTTTAGGGTTTCGGGGCCAGGACGGGAGCTTCGCTGGCCTAAGCCCTCTCTACTGCTTTCACTAGATCAGGGCCCTGTTTTGGGGCACCTTTTGATAAGGGATCCTGGGAACAGCTGATGCCTGGATACAACAGTCTCGTCGCACTGGGGAGTGAACAGTCGGTTGCGGGCCTTCGAGATCAAGCTCTGAGTCTAAGTGGTACACTGATCTAAGCCCATGATGCTTGGGCCTGACAGGCGTCGACGCATGTCCCTTTCTTGGCTGTGGGCATATGTGGGCAAGGACGCAGAACTGCTTGAGCAATCAAATCAGCGCAAGCGGGCTGAAGTGAAGAAGTCACTCCAGCAAGTTTGACTCCCCAAGAAGGCGCTCTGCGGACACAAGCTGTACAATGGCCTTATGAAGTCCCTTGTCCCTTTGAGACAAGCGCGTTTGAACTGCTCATCTACCCAGCAGTCACCAACCAGACCCCTGACTACCATCGAAGCTCTCGTGGCCGTCAGAGTCCTGCAACCGTGTATGGAAAGATTGAAAACTCGACGTAAGGAATGCGTATAGCGACAAGAAAGCAAGGGGCTGAACGCGTCCTCCAGTACCTCCAGCACACCCTCCTCCTCTTCTTCCTCATCCTCCTGAATCTCCTCAGCAGCCGGTGCTGGCTGCTCATCTTTTTCTTCAACCTGTGGCACGTCCTGAGTTGGATGGAGGTACATGAGAATGATTGGTTCGGACATGTTTACAAGGCACTGCGCATACACAAGTAAGCGATGCGCTGTTGGGCTTACAGCATCGGCTTTCTTTGCCTTGCAGTGGAATGTACAGCTTCTCACATGCTGCTTTAAGAAGCACATGCTCGATGGGCTGCCTGGATGCGTGCTTGGATGGCTGCTTGAAGCCTTGGTGCAACAGGATTAGGCCCTTAGGCTGTAGCCACTGCAATGCAGGTGAGATTCCTGTCGCCCACGCTTGCCGGCTGCCTTCAGTGGAGCAAGCAGATTGCCAGCCCCCTGCCCGCTTCGCATGTTGAAATCTCGGAAAGCTGCTGCGGCTCTGGTGATGTGGCAGCAGCAGTTTGCTCCGCCTGCAACTCCAGACGCGAACCGGAGGTCTAATTGGTCTTGCGAAACAAGCTTTCATGCGTCAGGGCTGAACAAGGAGTCGTGGCATGCACTGGATTGCTTTTGCTTGAGCAGGTGACTTTTGCTAGATCAAGCTCATGCGCCTAAGACCTGTGCTGCACACTAACTCATGTTTGCCGTGCCAGCTGGCATGCGAATCCACAGCAACACAACAGGGTTTGGTGGAGCATGGCTGACTCGCCCTAACATCAAGTTACGGCGGTTTGCCTCCACAGACTCCGCGGGCACCTCGGTGCCGACGCTGCTTGCCCGCCGCACCTGCAAGGCTTTAGCCGCTTTAGCCATCTTCCAGGCTTCTGGGGACAACACTTTTGGCTGTAGGGCGCAACTAAATGTCATCTATAGAAGTGCTGAAGGAATGTTAGGTACCGTTCTAGCAACCTGAAGCCCAAACAACCTTGAAGCCCCACATCCCAGAAGTTCCCAACCCTGGACTGGAACCCTGGAACCCTGGAACCCTGGAACCCTGGAACCCAGCACCCCCCCCAACAGTCCTGCGAAATACAAGCAACACTGCATCCCTGTGCAAAACCACCCTAAACCCTAAACCCTAAACCCAAAACCCTAAACACTCCCTGAAACCCCGAACCATGTTCCCTGTCCTGGGCAGCACCCCCATCTTCATGGCCGTTCGCAGCGCCGGCGCTTCCGGAGCTTGCGGCCTTTAGGGTTTAGGGTTTAGGGTGTAGGGTGTAGGGTTTAGGGTTTAGGGTTTAGGGTTTAGGGCGTCGGGATTTTCAAGATTTCAGGTGTTCGGGGTTGAGGATTCGTTCAACCTTTCGTTCAACCTCTCAGACCAAGTGTTTAAGGCTTTTGAGGCTCAGGACCTGAGGACCTTGGGGCATACTCAAGCACACTTTGCGCCAGCCTCGAAGATTGGAAGACTGTCATCATCCTGGCTTGCTGCTACGTGCGGGGTTGGTTTAAAGTAGCGTCCTTCCGTTGGTGCCTGTAGTAGGACTCCTTACGCTAACAGGCCTCTTGGTCCAAGTATGGTCATGCGCATGTCTTATCACCCCAAAACAAACGACCGAAATCTGGAATAGTTTTGGCAGCTTCGGGGTCTGAAGCGCAGAACCTCGGATGATGTTTGACACTGCAAGAGGCTCCAGGCTTGATCTCTGTGCATCTTGGGGGGCTTCGAAGGCCAGGATTGTACCTGTTCCCCCACAGAGAAGAAGACCGTCTGTGGGAGACTTGCCTCATCAAGATCGCTGATTTCGCTGGCCGCTGCCTCTGACAGGTGCATGCTTGGAGCAGGGAAGACTAGAAGACATGCTGAATATACACACAGTTGATTTTGGGGACGCCATCGTGCGTGAATATGAGCCCATGCCATGACATCTCAAGAATCACTTAAGCAAATTCGCCACAGCTATTCGAGCGTTTTCGAGCAGTTGCTGATACTCGCACATTGAAAGCAGCGTCATGCAGCGTCTGTGCTATCCCGCAGCTTTGTTCATTCCCAAGTTGCCACAGATACGGTGGATGGACGAAATCTTGCACCGCCTTTCAAGCAACAGCTCTGGCACTTACAGCGCAGAACCCCGCAACCCCTTTTTAACATTGGCAGGTGTTGCTTTCCAGGCGGTGCAAGATTTTGGTCATTGGAACAAGTCAGCGCCGAAGCCTGTCCAAAGCCAATGTTAAAAGGGGGTGCCGGGTTTTGGCCAATTGCGTGGTTCAAAAGCGGTGCAAGATTTCGTCCACCCACAGTAGCACCCCTCCTCGTTCAGAGCAGTGCCTCTGGTCGACTGATGTCTCCCCCCGTGCTCCCAAGAATTGAGTCTTTGGAGGGCCCTGTGGAGGCTCCATACTTATGCCTGCATATAGGCAAGATAAAGGAGGTTACCTAAGGCAGGGAGGTGAGTCTGACAGGTACATGTCGGTACCGCCTGATTACGCGTGTACAGCCCTTGACTGTCACAGCAATACGTGACCCTGTCAAACGGGTTGCTCCTTTTCTGTCCAGGCGAAGATTTCAGTTGGCGATGGTGTGTATTCATGCATTATCAATCATTATCACGAAAATATGCGAACATGCAAACACGAAGGTTTAGACTCTAGACAAAGGAAAGCTCTGACACGAATGTCTGGCGTGCTGGTTCCCTGCTTGTATGAGGTGTGGGGTTGAGTCACGTCATTGGGAAAGAAGTCACAGCTCTTTGAGTACACGTGACCAGAAGAAAAGTCACACCATGCGGCGTGAACTCGCATCACGTGCACACTTCAAGACCCAACCCCCTAAGTACACGTGCTCCCATGCAAGTGTTGCAACGGGTTGTGAAATGGACGGGTCAGGCCCCGCGTGCAGGGGAGGGGGGGAAAGGCTGACTTCACACAAGTCCTGGGTTGACATGATTTGAAGCCAATCCCAAGCATTTGCTCCCAAAACAATTAGGAAGGAGAATGCTTACCCACACAGACACCTTCCCATCTTACCCAGGAGCAGAGGCACCTGAACCCAAGAGAAGGAGAACAGCATGCACGCAGCGTATCAGGCTTTCCTCTACTGGACCAGTGTCAGTCAAGCCATAATAATTTCATGTATGGGTGAGCCTCTTCCGCGTTCTCTTCAGCGTTCTCGATACTTGTGACATCGACCTGGCCGCTGCCAAAAAGTCCGAAGACCTCCACGGCTGTGCATCATCCCAACCAGCGGCCTCTTGAACTGCGTTTTCTGCTGGGCCATCGCTTGGCACCTCCAACTGTAGGAGTGTTGCACAGGCTGGAGGTGCAGGCATTGGACCGGCCTCGCTGATGGAGCGCACGTCATCGCTCGCCATTCTTTGCACCTGGCATCAGGTCTCGATTGCTGTTGGCAGGGGAGGCGCAAAAGGCATGAAGAAGTCGACGACTCTTGGCATCCACAGGCCTCTTCGACATTCCGCCTGACACCATCGCTTGGTGCCTCCCCAGACAGTGCAAGAACAATCTATCAGATATCATCTTCTCTAGTTTAGGCCTTGCATCACCAACACCTGCCACTGCTTATTTGCAGGCGATCCTTGCCCACGCTCTCGATGCTCTGGACATCGGCTAACTGGCCAACAGCTGCAAGGGCACTCTGAACCCGGTGACCCCCAACTGAGCCCTAGAAGTACTGCCGGACAGCATACCATGCATACCGTTGACGCGCGGCCTCATGTCCTGCATCTTGAGATGGGCCGTCGCTTGGCGCCTTCAGCAGCATGCTTCATACACATGCCGGATGCGCAAGCCTGCGACACGACAGGCCTGGCTCAGCGAGTGCACATCGTCACCAGCCTCGCTCTGCCCCTGGCAAGCTATGAGTGCGCGACTACGTCGCTCGTGCACCTAGAGCGCTCAGAGACAAAAGGAAAACTTTCGGTCTTTTCCGAAGACTTTCTCCACGGTTTGCTAAATCAAACACTTGAAGGCAAACTAGCACAAATGAAGTGCATGCAAAATCGGCCTGCCGGCATGGGTCCATTCTCAGGCCTCCTATCTTAAGAAAGGTCCTCGGAACAGGACGCTAGTTCACAACAGCATAAAACAAGCCCCATACAACAGCCCCAAATCGACATCGATTGGCAGCTGGCCTGAGACTCTGCCACGCTCTTCATGCTCTGGACGTCCACCTGGCCGAGCTGCAGCTCATGGGCTGTTGGAGTGCATGCACACGGCGCACAGCGGCATGCATGGGGCACGCCTCACTGAGTGGGCGCACATCCTTGCCAGCCTCTCGTCGTGCCTGGCATCATTTCAGGCTGAGAAGTGGTCATGGCCAGCCCGATGTCTTGATGCACTGACTTTGG